GCGCGTGGGTGGGGCTGAGCCGCTGCTCTGCGAAGGCCAGCAGGGTGGGCCCCGGGGCCACGGGCAGCAGCGCGGGCACGCGGTAGGTCAGGCCGCTCCTCTCGCTCTGGAAGAGCACGGTCCGCGTGGGGACTCGGGGGGCCCCCATGCCCTGCGGGCCCAGGGCCAGCGGGTCAGCGGTCAGGGTCAGGCACACTCCCCTCTCTCCGTCTGATGGTGGAGAGGCTCTGTAGGTGCAGACGCGCGGAACCACGCCAGACGCCTCCCTGTACCCACCTCAAACCGCCCTGGCCCAGGCTCCCTGCCCACCTCTTCTTCACGGCCACCGCACCCCCAAATTGGCCCCTTCCTGCTGTCAACAGAGCCCACAGAGGGAAAGCAGGGCGCCTGGCCCGAGTCCCTTCACCCTACACGCCTGTGAGCCTGGGGCAGGTCGGCTCCACCGGCCCAGGAGGCCAGCCAGGTTCACAGTCAGGTCCCAACGCTTTGGACAAGGAAGGGTTTACTGTCCCCAAATAGGGGCCCCACCACCTCGGGGGCGAGCCCCACAAACACAGAGAAGCACAGAAACAGATACACCATCAAAAACAAACAACAACATAGGGAGAGACTCACACATGAAACAGACACATGCAGATGCACACACATCCCCACAGATACCCACAGATACACACTTGGGGGGCAAACACACACAGTGACATTTCACACACGGGAGGAAGGCACCCTAGCTGCTGCCACCACTCTTCTCAGACCTGCAGGGTCACCAGGGTCAGGAGGTTCTGGGGAGTAGTCTGTGGGGCAGGTGACCGGCCACCCTGTCCCTTGGGCTCCTGAGAGAGGCTGGGGGGTCTTGGGAGGTCCAACAGAGCCATTGCCACCTACAGGGGCCCCCAATAGCTCCCTCACGTGCCTCAGAGACCTAGGAATGATGTAGGCCAGAGGAGCAGTGAGAGGGACCCCACGGTGGCCAAAGAGGCCACCATCCTACGGTCCTGCCCCTGCCCCATCCTGGCAGAGAGGAGCCACAGGAGACAGGGGGGAGGCAGGGGGGCAGCTCTAGTCTGTGCACTGAGGCCCAGTGTATTGAACTTGAAAGCAGGAAGCAGGTGTGGGTGTCACATGTCCCTCCGGGTTGAATGGACACAGCAGGACATTCTCTCCACTTGGCTCCCTCCCCAGGGCCTGGGACCACCCGAGCTGGTATCAGCATAACAGGCAGCCCAGGCCTACGCCTGGCCTGAGGACAGAGAGGCAGAGGGAGGCTCCCGAGACCAGCTGGTACGTCTGCCTGCTGCACAGAGCTGGACAGGCCTGCCCAGTACTTGGAGCGTCCTTGCCCTGACCAGAGCCCCAAAGTTCTGGGGAGGCCCCCATTGTAGGAGGAAGTACCAGGTCTCCCAGGCAGCTGGCCCTTCCCAGTGTGGCCAGTTCAGCAGATTCTGGGGCTTTGACTTGACTAGATGGCTACCTCTGAACATTAACTGGAACTAGAACATTTAAGTCTGGGTGCCCATCTACCCCCACGGGGGGGACTTTCTCGGGGGCAGCACATCGCAGAAGGGAAGCTGAGGTCCGGGGAGGCCATGGGACCTCCAAGAGAACCTGGTCCCCTGACCCTGGATCCCGGGCAAGTTGTCGGGGCTTATTCTGCCTCCAAGGGGCTTACCCTAGACCTGCCGGCAGCCGGTCCTGTCTGGGCTCGCCCTGGAGCACTGGGCCAGGGCAGGTCATCCGGCCCACACCTCCCTTCTGGGTCAGCGCCTCTCTTATCCTTTGGGCCGACACTGCTGGCCGCTCACCTGCTGAAATGCCACCCAGGAAGAGCCAAGGCTCTTTGCACAGGCAGAGGGACCCTGGCTCTGGCACCCTGCGGGGGCTCCAGTCTAACCTGCCTGCCCTGTGCTCCGTCCAGACAATGACTCAGTTACACACCCCTCTGCCTGGTGGAGCGACTCCCACAGGCCCACCTGGTCCTGGGGACTGGACACCCCGTCTGCATCCATCCCATCCTCTGAATCTACCTCCAGGCCCTTCAGTGTCACACCTGCCCCTTGAGCCAGGAAACTGCCCACTGGGGATCCGCGTGCCCATGGCCCTCATCCCAAAGAGGGCAGCCAGGGAGGACGGAAGGAGCGGGGTCCCGGCCCTGGGAGGCTGGGAAGCAGGGAAGGGACTCACCGGGCACCGCAGGGAAGCCGCACAGCAGGCTGTGGTGCGGCCACAGGACTGCCTGCCTGCCTTCGGACCCAGTGAGCTGAGTGGAGACAAGGGCCCACTGTGTGGGTGGGAGGCAGGAGGCGGGAGCTGGCCTGGTCCAAGCGCTGCGTCAGAACCCAGGACCCTCCCGCCAGCTGGGGTGCAGCAGAGCAGCCAGGGGGTGCAGAAGGGCACTCGGGGTGAGAGCCAGGGTCAGGACGGGGCCACGCAGGGCTCCTCTCTTGTGGCTGACCCGCTCCACCCTGGGGTGCTGGGGACTTGGAGTTGGGGGGTCACAGTTGCCCTCAGGCCTCCTGCAGAGATGCCTCAAGCTACATAACACTCCGTGATCCTTCCCTTGGCTTCCAGGATGTAACCTCTTGGGCCCTCACTGGGCTCCAGCCCATGTCTGTTGCTCGGGGCCCGGCTCCCACTAGGCAGGCCCGCATCCCACCTCTCCCACCCCCTCCCCAGCACCAGCTGCCTCCCAGGGCCCCCTCCTGCCAGCTGGCCCCATTCCTCACCACTCCCCCACTGCTATCTCCAAGGTGGCTTCATGGATGGCCACTGCATGGGTGACCACTGCCCAGGTGACCGCTGCCTGGGCCAGGACTCAGGGAGAGTGCTGTCAGGGTCCTGAGGGGCCAGCCTCCTCAGGGCCCCGCCCCCTCCTTTTCCTGCCCCTCCCTCCATTCGAGGGAGAAAGGGGCTCTGGGAAAATTAAGACATCCGGTGATGTCCACATGGAGATGACAACCCTGCTGTGTCCCTTCAGGTCCTCAGGGCCGGAGGGGATTTACAAGGCCACAAGGTGGAGAGGAGTGGGTGAGCCACCATCCTACTTGATGGCTGCCAGCCCCTCACCACCCGGCACAGGCAGGGCCCCAGGAAGACTGCCGCCCATTCTGTGAGGCTTCTGGGACGGGCACCTGTCACCTCTGCCACTCCCGTGAGCCCCAGGGCCATCCCCCAGTCCCCCTAAGACAAGCACATGCCCTCTGGTTGCAGGCAGCCCCTCACCTGACCCCAAAAGGAGGTTTAGGCAGAGTTTGCTCTGAGCTCACTAGCTGCACAGGATGCCAGCATATTCGGCCTTTTGGGTGGGTGGACTGGTCATTTCTGAGTTCTTATTACAGACCGCAAGCACTTTACATGGTAACAAATACCCCAAAGTTTCCCTCCAAAAACCGTACCGGTTCACATTCCTGCCAACCCCAAAGGCACAAGCAAACGCCATGGAATTTCTGTGGTGACTCAGCGGTCTCGGTTCCGTCGCAGAGGATGGAACGTGTCCGTGCCGAGGTGGAGGCTCCCCTCCCCCACCCCCATGACAACACAACCTGCAACCTGCTCTGGGTTCAGAAGCAGCAGCTTCCCTCCTTATCCGGGGTTCACACTGGCCCAGGCTGGCCCGGTTTGGGCCTTGCTTCCTTTGGGTTTTGGCGGAGCCTGCCTGATGCTCGGGGCACTGGATTTTTTCTGAGTCTTTCTCATTTGCCTATAGTTTCTCATCCATGGCTCTTGCTGTCCTTCTGAGCCGCCTGTCATCCCCTTGCCGTTCGTCGGGCGTCTGGTTCCCTTTCTCTGCGTTCCCGAGGGATTCCTTCTGCCTTGTCCCTGGGTTAGGGAGAGGGGCCCCAGCTCACGCGGGCTCTGTAGTGTCCTGTTCTTCACCATCTCTGTTCAGTTTTTTGGAAGTCACTTTTTCCGTTTCCAAGTGTTGTCTTTTCATATTCACTGCAATATGTCTTCTAATCTCACTAAAAACTCATTCTTCTTTTTAATTTTTATTTTGAGAGGACGTTCATTAAAGCTGGGGACAGTGAAACAGGAGAGGGCTTAGGGTAGAAGAAGCAGCAGGGGAGAGACTAGGCGGGGCTGCTTTGGCTCTCTAGGAACTTAAGCGGAAACAAGCGAGCCCAGGCCGGCTGTCAGCTCACTGGAGAGTCAGAGACCAGGAGGCCTTGGGTTCAGGTTCAGGGGTGAGCCCTGGATGAGCTGCCACTGCCCATTGCTCCCTGGCTGCAAGTCGCATGGCACCCTTAGAGGTTAGGAGGTGCATGCCTGTGGGGGAGGAAGAGGAGGAAGGATGAGGCTTGGCATGCTCCCAGGAAGAAAAGCTCACACCGGGTCCTGTGTTTTAAGGGTTTTAAAGGCTGGGAGTTTAGGAGAAGTCTTAGGGGAGGGTCTCTTTATTATTATTAATTTGAGAGAGAGAGAGAGAGAGAGGAAGATAGAGAAAAAGAGAGAGAGAAACATAGATTTGTTGTTCCACTTATTTATGCCTCCACTGGTTGATTCTTGTATGTGCCCTGGCTGGGAACCGAACCTGAAACTTTGGCATATTGAGAAGACACTCTAACCAAATGAGCAACCCCGCCAGGGCATAGGAGAGGATTTCAACAGAATATTCATCAGATTTATGGTGATGTACCAAAATGAGATTAATTTCTTTTATTTTTTGTTTCAGAGAGGAAGGGAGAGGGAGAGATAGAAACATCAACGATGAGAGAGAATCATTGATCTGCTGCCACCTGCACAACCCCCACTGGGAAGCGAGCCTGCAACCTGGGCATCTAACCACAATCTCCTGGTTTATAGGTCAGTGTTCAACCACTGAACCACGCCAGGCCGGGCAAATTCATATCCTTGGGTGTGGTTGGCGCAAACTGTACTAACTGGGTTTCTGTTATCTATCTCTCTGGGGAGTCATTTAAGCTGTATACCCTCTGATTACAAAGAAGGGTAAACCATTTACTCTTAGGTGTCGTTGATTACGGAATATAGGATTTTGCGATTTACAAGCTGGCTGTAAACTGCTAGGTCATTTAAATATTTGTCTCAATTTTCCGCTTCTACTTTCCCTGGCTTACTGACCTGTCTTAACTGGACCAGGTTTTCCTAAGGAGCTGAGGTCACCTGGTGGTAGCACCGTGTAGAGTGTCCTCCTAACAAGCCATGGTACTAGGAAAGCTTGTTGTGTGCCCTGCTCTGTGGCTGAAAAATCACTTTGGAAAAGTTTGCCCCTCCTGGGAGAAGGCAATGGCCACGTCCTCAGTTCCCAGTGTTCCAGGGAGCGGCTGCCTCCTGTTCTGATCATTTGGGGGGCTCCCTTCTTTGAAATGCTGATTCACCTGAAAAGTGTGGACATACCTACACACAGGAGCACCCGCTGCAGGTGCCCAGCCCAGCTGCCAGGTCCTCTGAGCTGGAGGCCCTGAGGGGAAAGGAAGGGCCCCCAGCACCGGGCTGGCCAGGCTGAGCCTCCAGGCTGAGCTGTGAGAGCAGCTACTCCTCCAGCGCTCGGGGCACCACGTGTTTTGAAGGGCATATGACACTGACTGTGTGCATCCCACTCGCACCGCTGGGCCCCGAGCAGCCAGGAATCATGTCCTGCCAGGCAGGGTGCCCTCAGTCCCTCCCCTCGAACAACAAACAGGCTCTCTTCTGGGACTGCGTCCAACATGAGCTCCTCCTGCAGTTTTCCTCACTGGACACTGTGAGTGGGCAGCTGTAATCCCAGGAGCCCAGCCATGAGCCTGAGGCCGTGCCCAGGGCCTCCCAACGTGACAGCAGAGGCTCCGGCATCAAACGGAGGGGCTATGCCTTCAGGAAGGGGATGTCCTTGGGGGGCTTTTCGGGGAACTGCAGGGTGTACAAGTGGGCCATGTACTGGAGCTCGGGCATGACCATCCGCTGACACATGCGCAGCGTCTCGTTGTCCAAGCCCTGCCTGAGGTTGTAGCCCAGGATGCTGGCCTCCCCGGACTGGAACGGCTGCAGCCTGCGGTCGGTGATCTGCGTCTTGTTCTTGGGCGCGCTGTCCTGCAGGCACAGGGCTTCCAGCTCGCGCCGCCGCGCCCGAAGCC